CCGGGCGGGGGGCTCCCCCAGGGGCAGCGCGGGCGAGCCCGGCGGCCAGGCCATCAGGCGTGTGCCGAGGCCCCGGCATGCGTTTGTTCCGGAATGTTGATCATTTGCTCAAAGTCTGAAATCCGCTGCAGCTTAGCTGGCACGGGTGCAGGGTGGCCCAGAGTGGCCTGGGGCTGCCTGTCTGTGGGGCCTGACCCCGTCTTGGGACTGCTGGGAGTTGCAGTTTCCGGTCGCTGAAGTGCGGGCGGAGACAGCCGGAGGGGGCTGGGGCGCGCAGGACTGCGGAGTTCGCTCAGGCCAGCCCCCCCCAGCCGCACCTCTGAAGCTGCGTTCAGTCACCGCCCTCCGTCCCCTCTGGGCTCACTTTGGCCTTTTCCAGAATTCCACCCTGGAGTTCCGTGGAAGGGACTTCAGAACATAGACCCCGAGAGCGACCCCGACGTCACCCCTGGGAGCGTCCCCACCGGGCCGACCATCAACACCACCATACAGGACGTCAACCGCTACCTCCTCAAGAGCGGAGGTGAGGCCGTGGGCCGGGCGGGCGCAGAGCCCGGGGGGGCGCAGAGCCCGGGGGGGCGGGCCACAGCCTCCACCTCCCGCTGCAGGCTCGCACAGTTCCGTGCCTCGGGGTGTGGGGCCCAGGGCCCTGCGCAGGCTGGGGGAGGTGGCGGGGGGGCGGACAGGCCGGGCGCTCAGTGTGAGGCGGTAGGGGCCCCCCATTTTGGTCACAGTCTCCTTCGGAAGGGGAAGGCCGCGTGCCCCTTGGGGTCCCTGGCATGGGCCCCAACGCCTGGGGGCAGCGCCCGCCCTCGCTGCCTGTCCGGGCGCCCCGGCCCTCAGTGCGCGCTCCCGCAGGGCCCTCCCCACCGTCGTCTCAGAACGCCACGCTGCCTTCCTCGAGTGCCTGGCCGCTCAGTGCCTCCGGCTACAGTCGCTCCTTCAGCAGCCTCACGCCCGCCCCCAGCATCGCAGGTAGGGCCCGCAGCGGCGCCCTGCCCCATGGCGTGGGCCGGGAGGGCGGAGAGTGGGGGCTCTCTCGGAGAAGCGACCTCTGTGCAACTAGGGGGTGCTTGGGGTGAGTTTCCTTACACTTAGGGGAGAATTCCAACCCCGAGGCATCTGGGTCCGAAGCCTGAAGAACGTGAGAGGGCGGGAGGGCCAGGGAGCAGGTGGCCGGGCCGTGGCCGGGCGGGCCGTGGCCGGGCGGGCCGTGGCGGGAGCTCGGATAGAGCTCTATCCTCAGATAGAGGCTGCTGGTGCCGGGCGCGGGGGGGGGGGGGGCGCCCACACACCGCGGCACCCCTTAGAAAGGGGGAGGGGCGGAGGCGCTGCCCACCGTCCCGTCCCGGCGGCCGCACCTGGACCCCTCACTGAGGGGGAGGGCCACCCGGGTCCCCAGCACAGCTGCTGGCTGGTCGGCGCTGGCCTGCGTCCTGGACACCCGCGCCCCGGTCTGCAGCGCGTGGCCCCGGCCACCCACAGACAGCGCCGCGCAGAGCCTGCGGGCCAGCCGCTGGTGCACGGAGCCACAGGCGTGCGTCTCTTGGTGGCAGCTCTGTGTCTAGCTCATGACGCAAACTGACCAGGCCTGAGAGCCACGCGGGTGTCTGGTGGCGGGAGGCCGGGCCTGGGCAGAAGGCCACGGGGCGGAGCGAGGCTGTGCCCACACGCAGGGACGCCGCCTGGCCCCGGCCCTGTGCTGCACCGCTCTGCCTTCCAGGTAAACTGTCAGACATGAAGTCCACGTGGTCCTCTGGCCCTGCCGCCCACACGCAAGCCTCGCTGTCCCACGAACTGTGGAAGGTGCCCAGAAACACGCCTGCCCCCACCAGGCCGCCTCCGGGGCTGACCAACCCCAAGCCTTCCTCCAGCTGGGGAGCCAGCCCCCTGGGCTGGACCAGCTCC